CCACCCCTTTTGTAAGGATCTAAGGAGAAAGTATTTTATTCAAACACCCAGTTTCCTTTTCCTGTCTTTGATTTTAGTAAAATTATGTTTTTAGTAAAGAATAGCTTAATTATAAATGTAAGCCATTTGATTTAATGCTAATACTAGATTTTCTGCTGCAATAAAACATTTTAAAAAGTGTTATGGCTCCTGAAAACTGTACTAATGCAATATATGTGCCTTACAATATAGAAATACTATGTTGCATAATTTGTTTTAATTAATAGCTAATTAAATTTTTATGTAAATTGATATCATAGTTCCTTGACACAGTATATTAGTAGCATTACTTTAACTAGACGAGTTAATAGGAAATATTTTTATGTTTATCATGATTGATTAAAAACAGATCATACCAGGTTTAGGGGAAAGGTTCACTTTTATTCCAAGTGTAAGGAGTTCTCATGATTAGATTCAGTTTCTCTCATGAAGGGGCATGGAAAAGTTTCTCTTTTGTGATCTTTTTTTAACCCGGACATATTCAGTGTTGCTTTACTACACAAAAAAATACGTAGATGTACAAGGAGCTATATAGAGACAAACACGTATTTTTCTTTAACATGTTTGAAGTTGTACTAGATGTAAACAACCATATTGGTTTGTCCAGGATTGAATGGCTTTCCTAAATTTCCAGACTTTCAGTGCCCAAATCAAGAAAGACTTGGACAAATTGGGACAATGGGTCATCCGAGTAGTTCTAATATGACACAACTACTGCCTTGTATTCCAGTACAGGGAATATTTGGAAGATAATTTTCCAGTACAAAATAAAGTATTTAAAAGTCATCAAATTCCGTCAACAACAGAATTAAGAATCTAGATGTTAGGTTCTGATTGGACAAGTATAACAGAAATCATGGATACTCAGAATCCTTAGCTTCTATAACTTTATTCTGGGTCCCAGGATGTTAAATAAACAGCAGAGTTAGTCTCTTGAGCTGAGCATCAGTGGAAGAGATTATTAAAAATATATGCACTATTTATTTTTATCTACTTGATGTGCAATAAAATGTAACAGACTGTGAATTATTGTGTACTAGTTATCACTTTGCCTCATTGAACGTGAGACAGAGAGTTGAGATCTGGTTAAGTGCACTTGTATTTTCATCCTATAGAATTAGACTAGACTATAATTCCAAGAGAGGAAATGTTCATTAATGTGTGAAGTCTAGGATCAAAATCAAGAATCTTTGGGTTTTTAGCTCTGTGATCCAATACAAGGTTGCATACTTCCAGGCAAGTTGCTTAAACTTGGTGCCATAGTTAGCTGATTCTTTACTTTAGCATATGAGACATGGCTTCCAATTTCTAAGCCACGCAAATTCCATAGAAGTAGTGGACCTTTGAAGTGGAGGTGGAAGGGGGGGGGGGAGCCAGCATTAGTATCAAAGAGGTACTGTATATATGGTATAACCACAATTCTTTGATCATATTACTTGACTGCCAAGAACCAAAATAACATGAAATAGCAAATTTCAAAGCTCTCCATTTTTTGCCCTCAAATTATCTATCAAGTCTTACTTTCCAGTGGGTAAGTAAGCACATGCTAGTTAACTATATGCATTCTAGAGTAGACTACCTGGGCTCAAGGCCTTGATTTGCCATTATCAGCTCATGATCTTAGGCAGTTTTTTATTTCTTTGTACCTCAAGGTCTTAATGTAGAAAATTGATCTATTATGAATAGTATGCAACTCATGGGAGAAATGCATGTAAGACCCTAAGAATAGTCCCTGGCACATCGTGTTTGCTATTGTCATTATTATTGTTGTCATTATTATCATTTTGCCCTTTGATCTAAGCTTGATGCTCTCTTTAGCATTCACATGCCATGCCAAAACTTTTTCATTGTATTTCTGATTGGTTGAATTCTCGGCATGAAATATGATACTTTTTTATTTGCCCAAATTTTATCCAAGGACTATTTCAATTCTGATTTCCTATGTGAGACTTCAGAAGAGTTTTGGGAAATCCATTCATAAATTCCATTACGTCTCCAACCAAAACAATGCAATGCACATTTCAACATTTGCTATTTTGTATTACTAATGAGGGAGACAGATGAGGCTTTCTAATCCTGAAAACAGTTTCAGAAAACAACAGGGGTAGTTGTACCCCGTTCTATAGGGTCACTATGAATTGGCACTGACCCTATGGCCATGAGATGTACTAAAGATGTTTCTTCATTTCATTATGTGTCTGTATAGTAATTGTATTCTTTGTTTTGTAATTTTCACAGTCTCCAGTGTGTTTCTCAATAAGGATCCCTGGTGGTGTAGTGGGTTACTCCTTGTGCTGATAATCTTAAGGTCAACAGTGTATTTGTGATAGAATATAAGTGACATGTCAATTTTCTTTCATGTTTAGATTTAGAAAAGAAGACAATATGGCATTTTAACATAAAATGAATATACATTGTCAACCCATATTTACTCATGTTAATCCCCTGCCTGATGATAAGATGAATTGTGATAAAACGAATTATAAAACTTATATTATAAAGAGATAATAAAACTTATATTATTACAAACACAAAAGTAGAACATAATCAATTCCATTTAATTATCACCTAATTTCCACAATTACTAACAATTTTTCAATCTTATTTAATTGACCTCACTTACTTTTTGATGGAGCATTTTGAAACAAATTCATCATATTTTATCTGTATAATTTAGTATGCATCATTAGCAGTTGAAGAGATATAGAATAATTTTAAAAGAATCAAGAAATAGGTCTTAATATTGTACTAGCATTGTCAAATCCCCCAAATATAGATAAATCTAAAAAAGAAAAGTTCTTAGTGGATGACAGGGAATATATGTGAAACACTGAGTGTATTTCATTGTCTCAGCTATGATTTTTGAAGTATAGCAGGAGCCATGCTTTAATAAAGCACACTGCACTAAAATTTCAACGTGATAGATTACTATAATAATAAAATGGAAAGTTTATATTTATTTTATTTGAATATCTCTTTAGCTGTATGATATTTTCAAAAATCTTAAATGTAGAATGGGCCTGAGCAATATAGAACATCAATCTATTTTAATAAGGCAATTTTTCTAGGCACGTTAGAATTTAATGACTTTAATGATGTGATTATGATATTAATCTCTCCTAAACCTACCATAATGTATACCAAGGGTGTTAAGGTATATATTTAAATATATATTTACATTATTTTGTTTACTAAGTGCTATTCGTACAAATGGTAATCCTTGCTTTATAGATGATGTTTTTTTAATAATATAAGAGTTACAATGTTATGACACTGGTTTGATAGATACAATTTTCATAAAGAAGCAATGATTTATAAAAGACCACATTATGGGAATTGTTACCTTCATGCAAATTTACTAAAGCAAAATGTGCATAGTTATGTAAATATGAGCTTGATAAGTATATCAAATAAAATCTAAAATTTAAAGGTTGATAATAATTCATAGATTAGATTTTAGATTTAAAAATGTATACTGCATATTCTATTTTCCCTAGTGTTAAAATAAACTTGTATAGAAAAATACTGTCATCCCCATATTACCATAAATGCATAAAAACAACCCCAATTGTAACAGAGTGGAGTAAAATGCACCCCACCAGACTGGTTGTCAGTTTCTTGATATGTTAGGGCTCAGTGAACTCCCATCTTGGACTTTTCTAGGATGAACAGTATTCAAGTAAAAACTTCCCTGTAGGCAGTTAAAGCTGAATTATAAGTCTGTGTCTTTCAGTGATCTTTGTTCTGATAGTTTTCTTCGCAAGCACAATTGGTGCCTTTGTGTATATTTTGATTTGCAGGTATCCTTCCACTAAATTGCTCAAGTTCATAACTTGATTTAAAGTCATCAGTGTATATTAAAGCTTGCATGAGTCTATGTGCTTTTTACAGAATTAACCTCACCTTTTTATTTTCCCTTTGCTAGATGGAATATGATGAAAGTGGAGCTTTTCCTTCAAGTGAAAATGTTTTATTTGGAAAATTTGGAAAATTCTTTTAAAACAACTTTTTCCCCCTTATTATAGCATTCTAGAATTGTCATACTGCATAATTCCTTGAATAGAACTCCTAAGAAATTTCTTCCAGTAAGGTGAATAAGGGTTGCCTGCCCATCTTTTTCATGCATGATAAATAGGAAAAAATAAAGAGCAATTTTAGCTTCCATTTTGAAGAAAGATTGTTCGGTCTGATGCACTGAAATTCAATCTCTTATCATGGGTACTTTTAGTAAAGCAGAACTGCTGTTTTTACCCTGCTCATCTTTCAGCTTTGGGGTTTAGGTTTTTTTTATTATAATATTATTAGGAATTGATTGTCTGAATAATGCCTACAATTAAAAAAAATTAAATACAAATGGCACAGCTAAGATATTTATAAAGCAAACAACTCAGCAGCAGTCTGTCTGAGATGTGAAGACTTCATGAGAATAATTAAGAGTTAACCATGATGTTATATCAGCTATGCACAAGACGGGATGGTGAAAACGTTTTCTAGTAGACCTTTTGTCCATATTTAGGCTGTTTTCTTCTGTGTTCGTGAATATGAAATATATCTAATATATAGACCAGAAAATGGAGAGCCATTATTAATATGGAAGACAAAGCTATGATAGATAGTAGACATGCCAATGTGACTAGTTCTACAATCTATGCCAGTTGTCAAATTCCAATAAATCTCTATATTCGCATTGCAAAATAAAGTCACTTAATTTGTTTTCATTATGGCAAGATACAAGAAATGCTTGTGCAAGTGGTTATGAGAGAGCAAAATCCCGGGTATTTCTATTCATGGGATGAAAGAGAAAAGGGAAATGGGATAGTGGTTGTATGATTCTGGAAATGATCATGAAATAAAGATCTTTGATTTGTAAATATATATTAGATTAAATAGTTCAGGGAGAGTGTTTTAGGGGGCAATTTAATTTTAAAAAGATAATTTTCTTGGTTTTAAAAAACCACAATGGGTGTTACAACTCTTTTAGAATTTGTCTAGCAGGTTTTCTGTTTTTTTCCAGAAACCTGCCCACCCCCCCCCCCCCCCGATACACACGCCAGTGAAACAGGTATCTAACAATACCCCCCCCCCCAAAAAAAAACAACCCCACAATGAAACTAGAAAATACAAGATGTTGGCCTTGCGGAGAAGATAGCATAGTACTAGATGTTATTATTGTTAGGTGCAGTCAAAGTGGCACCAACTCATAGAAACAACAGAACAGAACACTTCCTGGTTCCGCACCATCCTCACAATTGTTGCTATATTTGAGCTTATTGCTGTAGCTATTACACCAACCCATCTTTCTGACGGTTGTCCTCATTTCCTCCAAATTAGCAAGCAAGGCTTCCTTTTCCAGGGACTGGTCTCTACTGATAATGTGTCCAAAGTTCATAAGACTCAGCCTCCCCCTCCTCGCTTCTAAGGAGCATCTGACTGTACTTCTTTCAAGACAGATTTCTTTGTTTTCTGGAAGTCCACGGTATTTTCAATATTCGTTTCCAACTCCATAATTCTGATACATCAATTATTCTGCTATCTTGTTTAATCGTTTCCCATATTTCACACGTTTGAAACTGCTGAAAATACCCTGGGTCAGGTCAGGCGTACCTTAGTCGTCAAAGTGATATCGTTAATACTTAATGCTTTAAATAAGACTTGGGCAGCCAATTTTCTTAATGTAATAAAAAATTGGATTTCCTGACTGCTGCTTCCATTAGCATTGATTGTGGATCCAAGCAAAATTAAATCTTTGACTACTTCAATATTTTCTGCTTTTATCATGATGAAACTTCCTCCAATTCTGATACTATATTCTTCTTCATATAGTTCAGCCTCTCAGATGATTTGCTTAGCAAACAGATTGACTAAGTATGGTGAAAAGATACAATTGTGATGCACAATTTTTGGCAGTTCATGGTATTTTCAATATTATTTTCCAGAACCATAATTCAAAAGCATTGATTCTTCTCTAGTATCTATTATTCAGTGTCCAACTTCCACATGCATCTGAGGCAATTGAAAATAACATGGCTACCCAAATAAAAAATAAATCTGTCTTGGTCAAAATAAATCCAGAATGCTCCTTAAAAGCAACGATAATGACACTCCATCTCAAGCATTTTGAATATGTTATCTGGAATCAACAGAAACTGGAAAAGGACATCAGGCTTAGTAGAGGGGCAGCACAACAGAGGAGGACCCTCAATGAGTGGCAGCAACAATGGACTCAAACATCAGAACAATTGTGAAGGTGCCATAGGACTGGGGAGTGTGTTGTTCTCTTAAACATAGGGTCACTATGAAGAGGAACCGGTCGGATCACACTTAACAACAACAAGTGTACTCTTGCTCTGCTTAAAGCATTGCTTTTTAATCTCTATATAGGTTCCACGCAATTAAGAATTCTAGAATTCCTATTCTTTGCAAATGATCTATATTAGCTCGAAGAATAACCACTACCCCACCAAGGCCCCTCAGGTGGAAATACATGTATTACTATAGTAGCTTGGAACAAAACAAAAAGTGAGTCAGAGTTTCATATGGGGTGTTCCCATAACACAGTTGTACATGAGCAAGCATGTTACCACAACATTCTCTATTACCGTTTTTTTGTGCTGAATGTTGTGGTAACATGCTTGCTCATGTACAACTGTGTTATGGGAACACCCCATATGAAACTCCATTCCAAGCTACTATATTAATACCAAATGCATTAATAATTAATATTTATTCCTGGATTGCTGGGGCTTCAAAATATTTTTTACCAGAAATAGGTTCTCTGGCTTTAACTAGTCTTAAAAGTCAGCGTGACTCACATCTTTCATTGCCTACCAGTTGTTATGAGAAATCTGACACTGAAATTCTCTTATTACAACCCAATAGCAAGTTTTCTGGCATATAGTTTACCTACTAGATATAATATAATTTTTTATCATTATTGGGAGCTCATACAGTTCTTATCACAACCCATATATCCATCCATTGTGTCAAGCACATTTGTATATATGTTGCCATCATCATTTTAGAACATGTTCTTTCTACTTGAGCCCTTGGTATCAGCTCCTCATTTTATCCCTCCCACCCACTCAGGAGCCCTTGATAATTTATAAATTATTATTATTTTTTCATGTCTCCCTTCACCCACTTTTCTGTTGTCCATCCCCTTGGGAGGGGGTTTTATGCAAACCATTGTGAATGGGTCCCCTTTCCTCCCCCAATCTTCCCCTTCCCCCTCATGGTATTGCTACTCTCATTATTGGTCCCGAGGGGTATATCTCTCCTGGATTCCCTGTGTTTCCAGCTCTTTTCTGTACCCGTGTATATGCTGTAGTCTAGCAGGATTTGTAAGGTAAAATTGGGATCATGATAGTGGGGGGAGGAAGCATTAAAGAATAAGAGGAAAATTGGATGTTTCATCGGTGCTATACTGCACCCTGACTGGCTCATCTGTTCCTTGTGACCTGTGTTAGACAGGGTTCTCTAGAGAGATAAAACAAATTGCTGACAATTTAATATATTTAGTTATAAAGATAATTAGATATATAACAAAGAATGAACTGAACTGTTAAATCATATACAGTTAAATATATAATACAAGAAAGAAACAATTAAATTATAAAGCACTACAAATGGATCAATTCAACTCACTGCCATGAGAGAGATGTGAGAGACTAGCAGTCCTTCTAGTCCAATCTGCTGCCAGATCTTCCTCTATTTGTAGAGAGAGCTAGGCTATGTCAGCACAGCAGCCAATCAGAGGGCAGGTCACTAAATGCCAGCCAGGTCACCACCTACCAGTCCCCAGTGCCAGCGATGTCTTAAAGGGACCTCAACTTACAGTGAAACAGTCCACAGGCTAGGTGTCCCACAGGTAGTGTAGCCTTTAAATTGATGCACAGGACAAGCAAGGCAGCCGCACACTGGTCCAATGATCAAAGAGCGAGAGACAAGAAAGGCGAGACTCACCAAGGCATTTATCTCTCTGCCCTAAATTAATCCCACTTGTGTTTATCGGCCAGGCTGGCACAATAAACTATTTCATGACCCTTCTGTAAGGGGATGTCCAATTATCTACAGATGGACTTTGAGTCTCCACTCTGCACTCCCCCTCCTTCACACTGATATGATTTTTTTGTTCTGGGTCTTTGATGCCTGATACCTGATCTTGTCGACACCTCATGATCACACAGGCTGGTGAGCTTCTTCCATGTGGGATTTGCTGCTTCACAGCTAGATGGTCCTTGTTAATCTTCAAGTCTTTAAGATCCCCTGAAGCTATATCTTTTGATAGCCAGTAGGAGAAAACAATGGGACCGACAGTTCCTGGGGGACACAGGAGAGGGGGAGGTGGGGGGAAGGATGTGGGTGTTATCCAACCGAGGGACAAGGGAACAACAAGTGATCTAAAATCAATGGCAAGGCGGATATAGGGTGCCTGGTAGGGCTCGATCTAGGGGAATGTAACTGAGAGGAATCACTGAAACCCGAATGAAGGCCGAAAATGATAGTGGGACAAGATGAATGTAACAGGAAGTACAGAAAAGGACTAGGAAGCAAAGGGTATTTATAGAGGTCTAAATACAGGCATGCACATATGTAAATATATTTATATATAAGGATAGGGAAATAGATCTATGTACATATATTTATATATTAACTATTTTTATTAAATGTGTTGGAAACTGCAAGGTGTTGTTAGGTGCCATCAAATTGGTTCTGACTCACAGCTGCCCTATGTACAACAATTATTCTCATTGTTTCAGGCAATTCATCTTGTCAAAGACCTCCCTCTTCTTCCCTGCCCCTCTATTTTACCAAGCATGATGTCCTTTTTCAGGGACTCATCTCTCCTGACAACATGTCCAAGGTACATGAGATAAAGTCTTTGCCTCTGAGGAGAATTCTGGCTATACTTCCAAGACAGTTTTATTTGTTCTCTTGGCAGTCCATGGTACTTCCAATATTCTCCAATATTCTTCCAATATTCCATCATGGACTTCCAATATACTTCCAGCACCATAATTGAAATGTATCAATCATTTGGTCTTCCTTATTCAAGGTTGTTGTTGTTGTCAATTGCTATCAAGTTGGTTCTGACTTAAAGCGATCCTATGCAAAACGAATGAAACACTCTCCTGTCCTGCACCATCCTCACAATTGTGCTTATGTTTGAGCCCATTGTTGCAGCCACGGTCAGTTCATCTCATTGATGGCCTTTCTCTTTCTTGCTGCTCCTCTATTTTACCAAGCATGATGTTATTTTACCAATTCCAAATTCAAGATGATAGCTCTAGAAGTCTTTCTCTGGCTCCTGTGAAATACAGTTCTTGTCTCTTTAAGGTTCTGTTCCCGGGCGATCTTTATGTGGCTTGGTATGTATCCTCCCATCTCTGAATCTTGCATTTAAAAAAAAGAATAATCTCTTTTATACCTTAATAGATAGTTAGTTAAGGCATATCTTGCACTAATATTTTCTCATTAACATAACACTAAAAAAATTCCAAATGGAATTTTATCCACAGGCAAAGAAGCTAGAATTTACAATAATAATTTTGTGGGGACAGAATTTAATGCATAGTATTGACCAATATAAGTAATTTTGATTTATAACCTCAAATTGAACTTTATAACATTTAATAACTATGGGCATTATAAGTTGTTTTTTAGTTTTACATTTGAAAGTTATAAAACCAAAAACAAACACCCAATTAAGTTTTCCTTAGGCACAAAAATAATTAAATGTATAATATTGTGGTAATATGCTAGCTCATGTTCAACTGTGTTACGTAATATGCCAAAAGCATTAATAATGTAACATTTATTTCTGTATTCTCTGTCTTGTTGACTTTATTCATTGAGTCAACTTTGTCAGTAAAAGTCATTTTATTTTCTTTCACAATACATTTAAAAATGGTTTTATTGGCATATGCTTCACGTATCATACAATTGGGCCATTCAATCATATTTAAATTATTTGTTCAGTCATCACCACAATCAATTTCAGAACATTTTCTTCTCCTATACATTGTT